TGTGTGGAGGTGAGTGAGAACTCTGTGGGAGCCATGGTGGTGGGGGCGTCCTCCTCTTTGTGTGAGAGTGATGATGACGAGGAGGGGCAGGAGGAGGAGAGTGGGAAGGGAGGTGAGGAGACAGAGTGAGGGTACGGAACGAAAGGGGAGGGGAAATGAAGGCGGGGAGGGGGAATAGAGAAGTAGTTGTTGAAGGGGAGGAGAAAAAGGAGAAGATGGAGGAAGGAGATTGGGAGGGGGAGAGAGAGAGAATTGCTGTTGGAGAGGAGGGGAGGAGAAAGGGAGGATATGGATGAAGGGAGGAAGAAAAATTGCTGTTGGTGGGAAGGGAGGGAGAGAAGATGGAGGAAGAAAGGGAGAAGGTGGAGGGAAGAGAGAGAGGAATTGCTGTTGGGAGGGAGGGAGGAGAAAGGGAGGATATGGATGAAAGGAGGAAAGAAAATTGTTGTTGGAGAAAGGGAGAAAGAATCGTTGGCTGTTATGATGTTATTACTGCAACAACTAAGAGTTAAATTTCCAGTCAACACATTTTCTGTAAATGCAACACACATAAATACACACCAGGAAGAACATTCATGAGACTCTGGGCTGGGGAGCAGGTGGAAGGATGTGGGAGAATGGGGAGGGGAGGACGTGGCTGGGGAGGACAGCCGAGGACAGGGAGGGACAGGACCAGGGAGGACAGCCAGGGAGATGTGGCCAGGGAGGAGGATGCTGTTGGGGAGAATGTAGCTGGGAGGATGCTGTTGGGGAGGAAGCTGTTGGGGAGAATATGGCTGGGAGGATGTGGCTGGGGAGGATGCTGTTGTGGGAGAATGTGGCTGGGAGGATGTGGCTGGGGAGGGATGCTGTTGGGAGGATGCTGTTGGGGGAGGATGTATGGCTGGGAAGAGACGTTGTTGGGGAGAATGCTGTTGGGAGGAATATCATTGTGTGCGGTGGTCAGGGGACGTGGCTGGGAGAACTTTCCTGGGGAGGGGGACATGTGGCTGGGGAGGAGGGCTTGCTGGGAGGAACACCTGGGGAGGGACGTGGCCAGGGAGGGACGTGTGGGAGGACGTGGCTGGGAGGACTGTGGCCTGGGAGGACATGGCTGGAGGACAGCCGAGAGGACGTAGCTGGGGGAGGACGTAGCGGGGATGAGCGTGGCGAGGAGGGCGTGTCGGGAGGGACGTAGCCGGGGAGGGACAGCCAGGGGAGGACAGGGGAGGGACGTGGCTGGGGAGGGACGGCTGGGGGACTGTGTCGGGAGGGACAGTCGGGGAGGACGTAGCCAGGAGGGACTGTGTGAGGAGGGACGCTTGTGTGGGGAGGACGTGGCCGGGGAGGACGTGGCTGGGGAGGGACGTAGCTGGGAGGGACATGTGTGGGGAGGGGACGTGGCTGGGGAGGACTGTGGGGAGGACGTGGCTGGGGAGGGGACGTAGCCAGGGAGGGACTTGGCCAGGGAGGGACGTAGCCGAGGAGGGACGTAGCTGGGGAGGGACAGCCAGGCAGGACATGGCTGGGGAGGACTGTCGGAGGGACGTAGCTGGGGAGGACGTGGCCGAGAGGACATGGCTGGGGAGGGACAGCCTGGGGAGGACGTAGCCAGCAGGGAGGACAGCCGGGGAGGGTATGGCCGGGGAGGACGTGGAGGAGGACGTGGCCAGGGGAGGGACGTGGCTGGGGAGGACATGGCCAGGGGGGACGTGGTCTGGGGGACGTGGCTGGGGAGGACGTGGCTGGGGAGGGAGGCACGGGAGGGACTGTGGTGGAGAGGGGACAGGGAGGGCAGTGGCTGGGAGGACCGTGGCTGGGGAGGGGGACGTGGCTGGGGGACCTGGCCGGGGAGGGAGAGGTGGCTGGGGAGGGACCTTGTGGCTGGGGAGGACATGTGGCTGGGGAGGGGACATGTGGCTGGGAGGACGTGGTCGGGGAGGAGGACCTGTGGCCAGGGAGGACGTGGGGAGGGTGGCTGGGGAGGACGTGGCTATGGGAGGAGGGTAGTGGGGAGGGACGTGGCTGGAGGGAGGACATGTCGAGGAGGGACATTGTGGCTGGGGAGGGACTGTGGCTGGGGAGGACGTGTGGGAGGGACGTGGCCAGGGAGGGACGTGGCCAGGGGAGGGACGTGTGGCCGGGGAGGGACATGCGTGGCTGGGGGAGGGACGTGGCTGGGGAGGACGTGGCTGGGGAGGGTGTGGGGGGGGACGTGGCGGTGTGTGGGGGAGGGGTGTAGCTGGGGAGGGACAGTGGCTGGGGAGGACGTAGCTGGGGGAGGACTGGTGGCTGGGGAGGGACGTGTCTGGGAGGTTGTGGCCGGGAGGACGCGAGGAGGACTGGCCGGGGAGGACGTGGCCAGGAGGACGTGGCTGGGGAGGACGTGGCTGGGGAGGACGTGGCCGAGGGAGACGTGGCTGGGGAGGACGTGGCTGGGGAGGGACGTGGCTGGGGAGGACGTGGCTGGGGAGGGACGTGCAACAGGGAGGGACGTGGCTGGGGAGGGACAGTGGCTGGGGACATGGCCAGGGAGGACGTAGCCGGAGGAGGACGTGGCTGGGGAGGGACGTGGCTGGGGAGGACACCAGCTGGGGACATGGCCAGGGACGTAGCTGGGAGGGACATGGCTGGGGAGGACAGCCAGGGGAGGACGTGGCCAGGGGGACGTGTGGGGAGGACTGTGTGGGGAGGTGTGAGGGCTGGGGAGGACATGGGGAGGACATGTGTGGGGGAGGACATGTGGGGAGGGACCCCATGAGGGGGACATGTGGGGAGGGGACGTGGCCGGGGAGGACGTGGCCAGGGGGATGTAGGTGGGACGTGTGTGAGGAGGACGTGTGAGGACTGTGTGGCTGGGAGGACGTGTGGGGGAGGGATGCGTAGCCGGGAGGACATGAGAGAGACGTGGCTGGGAGACAGCTGGGGAGGACAGTCGAGGACTGTGGGAGGACATGGCTGGGGGGAGAGGACAGCGGAGGAGGACGTGGCTGGGGAGGACATGTGGGGAGGGACGTGGTCGGGAGGACGGGGAGGACTGTGGGGAGGACGTGGCCAGGGAGGACTGTGTGAGGACATGTCAGGGGGACGTGGCTGGGAGGACGTGGCCGGGGAGGACTGTGTGGGGAGGGACGCAGTGGGGAGGACCTCGTGGCTGGGGAGGGACGTAGCTGGGGAGGACGTGGCTCGGGGACTGAGGACATGGCGCTGATGAGGACATGCGGGGAGGACGTGTGGCCAGGGACTGTAGGGAGGACGTGAGCCAGGGAAGGATGTGAAGGAGGACATGGCCAGGGAGGACATGTCAGGGAGGACGTGTGAGGAGGGACCCATGTCGAGGAGGGACATGTCGAGGGAGGACAGCCAGGGAGGACCTAGCTGGGACATGTGGGAGGGACGTGTGTGAGGAGGACATGTGGGGAGGATGTGTGGGAGGGACATGTCGGGGAGGGACGTGGCTAGGGATGTGTGGACTGAGGAGGACAATGAGGGAGGGACAGCCTGGGGAGGACGTAGCCAGGGAGGACGTGGTTGAGGAGGACAGCTGAGGAGGACCAGTGGGGGAGGGACATGGCTGGGGAGGACATGTGGGGAGGGGGATGTTGGGGACCTAGTGGGGAGGTGTGGCGGGGAGACCAGCTGGGAGGACGTGGCTGGGGAGGACATGTGGGGAGGACGTTGCCAGGGGGATGTGGCTGGGGACGTCTGGAGGGGGATGTGGCCAGGAGGGACGTGGCTGGGGGGACGTGGTGAGGGGGACAGTCAGGAGGGACTGTGTGGAGGAGGGACAGCAGGGGAGGACATGTCGGGGAGGACGATGGCTAGGGGAGGACGGCTGGGGAGGACAGGGGAAGGACAGCTGGGAGGATGTGAACAGGGAGGACAATGGCCAGGGGAGGACATGTGCAGGAGGACGTGGCCAGGGAGGACGTCTAGCTGGGAGGGACTATGGCCAGAGGAGGACGTGTGAGGAGGGAGCTGGGGGGACATGTCTGGGAGGACATGTGAGGACATGGCCAGGGACCCTGTGGCCGGGGAGGACGTGTCAGGGAGGACAGTAGCCGAGGAGGACTATGTCAGGAGGAACTGTGGGGAGGACATGTGTGAGGACCTTGTCCAAGGACATGTGGGAGACGTGGCCAGGGGAGGGACAGTGGCTGGGGAGGGACAGTGGCCGGGAGGACGTGGCTGGGGAGGACAGCCAGTGGGGACAGCCAGTGAGGACGGCTGGTGGCTGGGGAGGGACTGGCCGGGGAGGATGGTGTGCTGGGGGACAGTGGCTGCTGGGAGGACATGTCAGGGAGCTGGGGAGGGACATGGCTGGGGAGGACAGCTGGGAGGGACGTGCTGGGGAGGACATCAGTCAGGACTGGCCGGGAGGACGTGTGGGGGACGTGAGGACGTGCCAGGGACCCGTGAGGGGACTTGAGAGGACAGCCGGGACGTAGCCAGGAGATGTGGCTGGGAAGGATGTAGTCAGGAGGACGTAGCTGGGGAGGACGTAGCCGGGGATGTAGTCAGGAGGACGTAGCCAGGAGGACAGCCAGGGAGGAGGGACGTGAGGTCGGGAGGGACGTGGCTGGGAGGACTGTGGCGGGAGGGAGGCCAATGGCTGGGGAGGACTGGTGGGAGGACGTGTGGGGACTGTGGCTGGGAGGGACGTGGCTGGGACGTGGTGGGAGGGACATGTGTGGGGAGGACAGCCAGGGGGGACGTGTGGGGGGACTGTCAGGGGACGTGGCTGGGGAGGGACTGTGGCTGGGGAGGGACAGCTGGGAAGGACAGCCGAGGACAGCCAGTGGGGGACGTGGCTGGGGAGGGACTGTGTGGGGAGGACGTGGCTGGGAGACATGCAGCTGGGGAGGGACGTGGCCGAGGACGGCTGGCTGGGGAGGACATGGCTGGGGAGGGGACATTGTGGCCGGGAGGACGTGTCCAGGGGGGACGTAGCTGGGGAGGACATGGCCAGGGAGGACGTGGCTGGGAGGACGTGTGGGGAGGGACATGTGGGGGGAGGGACGTCAGTGGGGAGGACTGTGGGGAGGACGTGGCTGGAGGGACAGCATGGGGAGGACGTAGTCAGGAGGACAGTCAGGGAGGGACGTAGCTGGGGAAGGACGTAGCTGGGGAGGACGTAGCTGGGGAGAGGTGAGGAGGACGTGGCTGGGGAGGACGTGAGCCGGGAGGACGTTGTCGGGGAGGACGTAATGGGGAGGGACATGGCTGGGAAGGACGTGGCTGGGAGGACGTGCTGGGGAGGACGTAGCCGAGGAGGACGGGTGGGAAGACGTAGCTGAGGAGGACGTAGCTGGGGAGGACGTAGCTGGGGAGGACGTAGCTGGGAGGACGTAGCCGAGGAGGACGTAGCTGGGGAGGACTGTAGCTGGGAGGACGTAGCTGGAGGACGTAGCCGGGGAGGACGTGGGGCAGGGGAGGAGGACGTAGCCGAGGAGGACGTAGCTGGGGAGGACGTAGCTGGGGAGGACGTGCGGGGGAGGACGGGGTGGGAAGAGACGTGGGGAAGCCGGGGAGGATGAAGCTGGGGAGGACGTAGCTGGGGAGGATGTAGTGTGAGGATCGAAGTGGAGGGGAGGACGTAGCTGGGAGGACGTAGTGGGGAGGACGTAGCTGGGAGGGCGTAGTTGGGGCGACGTAGCAGGGGGAGGACGTAGCCGAGGAGGGACGTAGCTGAGGAGGACGTAGCTGAGGACGTGTTGGGAGGACGTAGCTGGGGAGGATGCAACTGGGAGGACGTGGGTGGGGAGGAACATTAACGTGGGTGATACCAAACTTTCGTCGTGGAGCTGTTTGGATTTTATTGGTTCGCTCCTCAACTCCCGACGGAGGCGTGTAGTGGCTCCTCCCTCTCTCCCTCCTCCTTCCTTCCTTCCTTCCGTCCCTCCTTCCTCCCTTTTCTCTTCCTTTCTCTTTCTCCTTCTCCTTTCCTCCTCTTTTCTATCTCTTTTTCCTCTTTCTCTTTTTCCCATTTCTTTCTTCCCTTTCCTAACCCCTTCTATCTATCTGTTCGAATCCTTCCCTTTCTCCCCCTCCTCCTCATTCTCTCATTCCTTCCTTTCCCCTTTCTTCCTCCTTTCCTTTCCTCCCTCCTTAACCTTTCCTTTCTCCCTTCTTTCCCTTCCTTCTTTTTCCACCCCTCTGTCCTTTCCATTCCTCCCTCCTAACCCTTCCTTCCTGCCTTTTCGCCTCCTCAACCCCTTCCAACCTTTTCTTCCTCTCCTCCCTCCCTTTCTTCTTCTTCCTCCCTTCTTCCTCCTCCTTCCTCTGCCCTCCCCCTCCGCCTCCTTCCTCTCCCTTCTTCCCCTCCTTCCCTTCTTTCCCTCCTTCTTCCCTCCTTCTTTCTCTCCTTCCCTCCTTCTTCTCCCCTCCCTCCTTCTTCCTCTTTCCTCCTTCCTCCTCCCTTCCCTCCCGCTTCTTCCCTCCTCCCTCTTTCCCTCCCTCCTTTCACCCTCACCAGCCTCACCCACTCTATATCCTGAAGCAATACAAACAAAGATCTCGCCATATCGCCACACAGTTACCCGACCTGTATCTTGACGGGCTTATTGTTATTTTGTGTCGGGAATCAATATAAAGGACGTACTATGATGTCCTGACACACGTAGACTTCATAACACGGATATAAAGCTCGGGGTGTGTGTGTGTGTGACCAGGATTATTGTGCTCTGGTGCTGATACTTACGACGGATTAAATCACACGGTTTTGACACCTTTATAACTACCCTTCAAATGTTTCCTTCCCCTTCCTCCCTCCCTGCCTCTTTTATTTTCTCCCTCCTTCCTCTCACCTTCTTTTCTTTCCCTCCTCCTCTCCCCTCCCACCTTCCCTCCTTTCCCTCCTTCCCTTCTCTGCCATCATCCATCACACGTCGACACAGCACCTGATATGAGTCCCCTTCGTCAAGTACTCTCTTGTGTATCTTCAACCTGTCTTCATTTGACCTTTTGGACAGGTCAGGCTTATACGATATACTGATCGGTGTATAAGTCAGGGTAACACTGCAAGAGGTCCATTAGGTGGGTATTAAGTTGACAGCTATTGTGAAGGGAACACACACACACACACACACACACACACACACACACACACACACACACCTATCTGTATACGTGTACAAAATACATAGTTAGCTCAGGACCTGTCTCCTGACCTAACTGGTGGTGGTTTTAGCACGAGAGGAAAGTATTTTTTGTTTTAAGGACAACATAAACGGCTAATGACCTCTTCTGACCACCTGTTTATGACCCCTCAGCCTATTGCACGTGAAGATTAACCACCCTAGCACTAACCCAACCTAACCCAACCTTAACCTAACCCTATTATGGTATCGTGAGGGTGTTTAATAATCAGGTGAAATAAACTCGAGTGCCTAATCTTCAGGTGATCCAGAGACATAATTTTGGTTTGATATTGTTTGATCTGTCTCTCAGGTGTCTGGCAGTAAAGATCTGGAGTGTCAGGAAGAAAATGTCAGACAATTGTTCGTCTGGCGTAAATTTCATAAAAGTTATTGCTGAGGGTGGTGAACGAAAGCCAGGCGTTGGTGAGTGCTCGTGTTGGCTTTGTTAATTGTTTGTGTTGGCGTTGTTAATTTGCAGGTATTGAATCCTTCACATAGAATCCCTCACCAAATATACATAGAATCTCACCAAATATACATGTCCTCACCAAATATACATAGAATCCCTCACTTACAGAATCCTCACCAAATATACATACAATATCTAGAATCCTCACCAACACAAATATACATAGAATCCCTCACAAAGAGACGGAGAATCCTCACTAAGACCGAGATTCCTTTCATTGAGTGGTCTTGTTGATCGGCTGACACTGCACATGAGGGATGATGGTGGGGAGGGAGGGGTGGGGGAGGGGGGCCGGGTGGTGGGGAGGGGGGGGCTGGTGGTGGGGGGAGGGGGGTGGGGGAGGGGGGCTGGTGGTGGGGGAGGGGCTGGTGATGGGGGGAGGGGGCTGGTGGTGGGGGAGGGCGGTGGTGGGAGGGCCGGTGGTGGGGGAGGGGGTAGGTGGTGGGGGGAGGGGGTAGGTGGTGGGGGAGGGGGTAGGTGGTGGGGAGGGGGGCAGGTGGTGGGGAGGGGTAGGGTGGTGGGGAGGGGGCCGGTGGTGGGGAGGGGGCCGGTGATGAGAAGAGGGGGCAAATAGTGGGGAGGGTGGTGGCAAGTAGTGGGGGATGGAGGCAGGTGGTAGGAAGGGGGGGGGCAGGTGGTGGGAAGAAGGGGCAGGTGGGGGTGGCTGGAGGTGAGGCAGGGTGGGGGGGGACCAGGTGGTGGGTCACTTGGCCCCAAGAGACACGACTTCTAAATTATTTTTTATTATTATATATTATATTTTTTTCAAACTTATTTTTATCAAATTTATAAAAGTTTTCTTTCTTTATCGTTTTGTTTTACATAGTTGAAAAGTTGATGTGTTATAGTGTCTGGGTCTGTATGGGTGTCTGTGTGATAAGTGTCTAGGGTTTCTGGGTAAGTGTTGAGTGTCTGGATACGTATTCTGAATGGCTATATAGTTATCTGACCTGGGTGCTTGAGTTTCCGTGAACGTTTCTAATCTGGGAACCTGACCCCTCTCTCTCTCTCTCCATCCAAAAAATATATAATTTTACATAAATCAATTAAAGTTGGACCACACTATAAATACGTAACTGGAACGAAGCAATACTGATTACGCATTGCTCCCACCAACCGTCCCAAAGGAGATGTGGGATAACCACTCAAATTTTAATAAATAATACCTCAAACTAAAAGTTAGATAATATATTGACATTGTTGATTCTTTGTAAGATTATAGTGGAATATATTTTGGAATATAAATGCTCATATATTTGGACAAAAGATAACATAATTATGCCTAGAGAACAATTTTCTATCTAAAAATTGTATGTTTAATGCAAAATATATGTTGCTTATATTCAAAATGATCACCAAATTATAAGAATTCCAGCAATGTAAATTATATTCTGGTTGGGTAATTTGTATGAATTTTATGAGCCAAAAACAGGCAGTCAGGCAGGGTGGCGGGTGGGGGTGGTGCGACCCAAAAATAGCTCGAGCCGCACACCTCACCACCGCCAAAGATATGATGAAAAATGCCACAAGTAAGTGAAAGTTCGCTTTTGGCAAGGCACCGCTGCATATGTAAAAACGCTATGAAAGCGCTGCTAAGCGGTACTACATTGAGTATATATATATATATATATATATATATATATATATATATATATATATATATATATATATATATATATATATATATATATATATATATATATACAATAAAGTTATACCCCACTTAACGCTGTCAATTGAACCCACCTTAGAGGGTCCCGCCATAAGGAATCCGCTAAGTGAACAACAGAGCATATGGGATTAATTCCACAGAAACCGCCCTAATTCCCCAGCAATACGTAACTGAACGAAGTACTGAT